GGAACGGCTTTTTAGAAGGAGGCTGCTTCTGAGAAGGCGCCGGCCTTACATCTCTAACTGTATAGATGAGGCCCGCGCCTTCTACGAAGCAGGGGTGTGTCTAAGAAGCCTCCCCCTTCCCCCTACCCTCCTCTGCGCGTGACCGAAATACAACGCGGGACTGCACTCCGAGGTGGCATGCGCGGGGGGCGCGCGCTGGACGTACCCGCGGGCGACCGGCGCGCCAGCCGCACGAGGGCCGAGCGCACCGGAAGACGTGCGGCCGCGCACGTGCCCGCTTCCAGAGGGCCGCACTCAGAACAAAATGTCGTCTCCCCTCGACCTCCGCCTGCCGAGCCTTCCGCGCAGCAGGTGCCGCCGCGGCGCGGCCGCGGCGACCGCCGAGACCGCCGCTGCGGCCTCGACGGCGGCCGCCACTGCGGCCGCGCTGGCGGCGGCCGCTGCGCAGCACCTGCCGTCTGGAAGGTGCGCAAGGTGGAGGTCGAGGGTCCCCGGCGCGCTCCGCGCGCCAGGGGCGGCGCCGGAGGCGCCGCCAGGGGGACTCGGCGCGGATCCAAGAAACCCGCGCGGAACGCAAACCGTTTATGTTTGTGGCGTCCTTCTGCTTCGATTCCCAGAGCGTCTGGGAACGCTCTCTGATAGCATGCCGGAGCGCTCTGGGGCGGACTCGTCCTCGGCCTGGCCCCGTCCGACGGTGCGCTCCTCTTCGATCTGGGCGCCGTGGAGCAGCAGGCCGGGCATCGCCGCCCCGCCCTCGGGGCCCTGGGGGCCCGCCCGGGCCGAGCCGGCTCGAGCGTTGCTGCAGCACGACCAAGAAGGCTCGCGCCGTGCTCTTCCCGTGGCGTTGTGGATCTCCGCGGGGCGGATACGGTCAGGAGCTTCTGCTGAGATCGTGCCGTGGCGTCGGCCCCAGCGACACGCCATGCCCTGCTGGGGACGTCGACGCCTGGGAACTGGGGCGTGGTTTCCTTGTCGCGCCGAAGCGCGCCCACATGCGACGACATGTTGTTTCCACGCGCGGGCCCCTAGGAGGTCGAGACCCCTTCCCCCGAGCAATCTTTTTGGCCTCGGATCCATATCTCGTTGTCCTTGGCCTGATAACGAGCCCCGGAGGCCGAAATCGAAGAACAACGTTCATATTGAAAACAACGTTTCGTCGCAGATCTGGGTGAGCGCGTCCCGCCGGAGCGTGGTGGGCCAGAGCCGTCGGCGCGACACGCTACCCAGATCCTGCGCGCCCCAAAAGATCGGTAGCGATCGAGTACGATCGAGCGCGTCCGATCCCGACAAAACATGGGGAACAAACGGTCGCGACGGGCTACCGAAAAACAGTGGATTTTGGCAGCGATCGGGAACGGTCATGACTGATACAACACCGCAGCGGGCACGGGTGTTACCGACCGTTGCCGACTGTAAATCTGACGTCAGCCTAACGTTAGTCTATCGGTCAGTATAACGTTCGTCTATCGGTAGCGCAGTGGCTTCACGTTTGCGTGGTCGAGAGAGTCATCGTGCTGATGTGTCCGCTCTCTCCTTCCCTCCAGAATTGCGCTGAAACGAAAATACTCGGCTACACGCAAGAGTGACCCTGGGTAAGAGTGACCTTTGGTGCGCGGCTTTTTTGGGGCCGCGAGGGGACCAAACACAAGCACGCAAGACACCACTGCCGCCTCGCGTTCGGCGATCGGGGGACCCCAGAAGGCCCGCACCAAAGGTCACTCCAGCGAAGGGTCACTCTTACGTGTAGTCGAAACACGTTCGTCTAATGTTAGTCTAACGGGCGCCGGGACACGGTCTGTGGAAAAGCACACACGGTCAGTGTTTTTTTTCTGCGGTCGGTGTGTGTTGTTTCCACAGACTGCGTTCTTTTGCACAGTGTGTGTTTCGTAGTTTTTTCCTTTTGCGTGTGTGTGTGTGTGTTTCTTTCCACCGTGTGCGTGCGCATTTCCCACCATGTGTGTGTGTGTGTGTGTTTTGTGTGTATTGTGTGTGTGTTGTGTGTGTATTGTATTGTATTGTATTGTGTGTGTGTGTGTGCGTTTTTTTGTTGTTGTTGTTGTTGTTGTTGTTGTTGTTGTTGTTGTTGTTGTTGTTGTTGTTGTTGTTGTTGTTGTTGTTGTTGTTGTTGTTGTGTGTGTGTGTGTGTGTGTGTGTGTGTGTGTGTGTTTCCACCGGCTTTCCACAGTGTGCGTGCTTTTACCGATCACTTTGCTGACGAGCGCACGCTCTTGACCGCGCCTCGGCGCACGAGGGCCCCCAGGGCTCCAGGGCTCGACCCCCCCCCGCGGCCGCGGGGGCGGGCCCTCCGCCGGGGGGCCCAGGGAAGCACCCGCGCACGCGTCGGCCCACAGCCATCCATACACCTATCGAGATGGCTCGAAACTGCCCCCACCCCAGACGCCTAAAGGTGCCCAGAAGATCTGCAAACATGGCCCAACATGACCCCAAGTCGCATCAAACTGTACTCCTCCTCCTCCTCCGCCTCCTTCTCAATGACGTCCTCCCTTGGGCGCATCTTTCTTCTTTGCGCGCACGCGCAGACCGCAGGCGCCGGCTGAAGCCCAGCCATTAAAATGTGCACTCGTCTGTTTGCAGACGTGATCGCGGGCGAACTGCACGCGTGAGCAAACAATGGTGTGTGTTTGCAAGGTTGGTTGAATTAAGCAACGCGCAAATGTCTTTTGCGCATGCGAATGCCATGTTTGAAGAACTGCCTGCCATCGCGCTTATATGCGTCAGGGAAGGCGCGAATCCCAGCTGACCACCAAATGCATGCGCGCAAACTCTGATTCTGATTGGCCCGCACCGATGTCAGTACTAGTGCTGCGACATGGGGCACGTCAACGGCGTCATGCGTCTTCGAAACCCAAAGAACCATCAACCTTGCGGAACCTGTAAAACGGCCCATGTGCTGCTGATCTGAATCGCTGCCATCTCAAAGTGGTACCCTGCCTGCGAATACCCATACCGGTTGACGTCTCCTTCGAACGAGCGTCAGCGAAGAATCGAACATCACCTGGAGGGAAAGAAGACGGTGACGATGACCAAGATTGAAGGCAGAAACTTCGGTGCAGATCTTGGTCACGGCCCATCTAGGTCACCGTCGACTCGTGGATCATCCTCGTGAGATCGGCGACGGCCAGCATGGACCATGCCTACGAAAGGCGTCGACAAAATCTCGCGACTCTCCCCTCGATCATTGGAGCGATACAGAGGGCAGCGTGTCAGTAAAGCACTGTCTCCCTCCAGATGCCCCCCAGCCCCAGTGAGGGGCAGACATACGGGGGACTCGCCCAGGGGGAGGGGGGAACATCGACATGGAATCGGCGATGCATCGCCGATATGTCGGCGACAAGCCCCCTCGATTGCGGTCCACACGTTCCCAGGTGGGTATCAGACCCCAGTCGAACATCAGTGGGCGATTGGGGCTCGACGAGTTCCCCCCTGAGCCTATGCCCCCCGAGCGTCTCTTGGCCCTGGCCCAGGGACGGGGGCGTCGCTGAATGGAGGGGGGAGCGACGCAGGGGAGGGGGGAGAACGGTGCACTTCTCGGGCCCCCAAGGCCCCCTTTGGGGCCCTGAAGTGCACCTTTCCTGCAGCCCTCGCTCCCCCTTGCGCGAGGCCCCAGGGAGGGGGACAGCTCGAAGAGCCGGAGGCGGGATTTCCACCACAGCTCAGGGCCCCTCCGCGCCCCCGACAGCGGCACTCCGTGCGTCCCTGGCCGGAACCGGGGGCGGGGGTGAGGCTTCGGAGGCCCTCGACGCGGGCGGTGGAGCGCGGGCAGCTGTCTTAGATCCCAGCCCCAATGAGACGAGGCCAGGACGAGGATAACATCGGGCGAGGATATATCGAGAATCTCTGCGATCCGGCGACTCTGGAGAATGGCGCAGGCGCCGCGACCTTCTCAAAGCGTTCCGGAACGCTCTGAGAGTCTTCTGGAATAGTCTGGAACGGATTTATCCTCGTCCTAGCCCCGTCCGATACAGTCGCGGCACCCATTTGGCAAAAAGATGAGCTCGGACACCAAACAATCCACTGCCCCTCAGGGGAGCTCTCACTGCACCCATCGAGGAGCCGATGCAACTCCCACGCAGCGGCAGTGTTATATAGAGGCCGACCAGGTTAATGTCACCACGTTCGGTCGGGGGGAACGCACGTAACTTCCCGCTGTTGTCGTCATCCAAGGCTCTGCCTGATGCAATGTTGACTGCTCGCACGAACTTCAAATGCAGATTTGTTATCATCTAAGAAGCCCCCGCACCGGCTTGCTTCGAAGCCCAGCTGGAGAAAGTTGCTGGCAATGGATAGCCATGTATGGAAAAAACTCTCTGGTTCGAGAGTGGTACAAAACGGAGCAGGGGATGATAGTATACGATACATGGTGGAAGCAAGGAGAAAACCACCCATCTCAACTCCCATCTCACACGATGAGAATGCACCCCTTCGCATCGTCGCCGAACATCCGCTCAAATGTGACTGATGCGCAGGAGAAAGCGCATTGCGATTGATCGCGCGAAAAAGATTACGTGCCACAGCGTGCCCGCTGCTGGCTACTCGGACTTCCAGTTCTCGCAGCACATCTGCACAATCCGCCGACCCCTTTGGGTCACGGAATGTGAGATGCTTCCCCCTTCCCAAACCCCTCCCCCGGGAGCCCGGTCGGGCCGGAATGGAGGGGAGGGGGTGGAGGGCAAAGGTGTCGGCCGCGCCCTTGGAGCCTCAGGGGGCCCAAAACGGGCAAGAGGGCCCCCAAAGGCCCCCCGGACGGTCCAAGAGGGCTACGAGTCGCCGAGAGATCGCTCCAAGACGCCCAGGACTGCCTCCAGACGGTCGCGGAGGCCCCCAAGACGCCCCAAGAAGCCACCAAGAGGCGTCCCAAGAGGCCCTCCAGAAGCAAAATTCGTCCCATTTCCCACGGAAAACGTATTATTTTAGCACATTCGCCCCATGGGCTCTCACGACGCCCACAACGGCCCAAGATGCCTTTAAGATCGACCCAAGATAGCCCAAGAGGCCCCCAAGAGGGCTCCAAGACGGCCCAAGGGGGCCCCAAGACGGCCCCAGCTGCTTCCAAAACGACCCAAGAGGGCCCCAGGACGACCCTAAGAGGAGGCCCAGAGGGGAAACCCGAGTGAACATTTCGAGCACTCGGCCCCGAAAAAACCTGAGGAGGCACCAATAGGCCCCCAAGAGGCTCCCACGAGGCCCCCGAAGCCAAAAAGCAGAGCCGCGATCTGCCAACCGCCCCCAACGAAATCCCAAGAAGCTGAAACCCCAAGATTACCCAGAAATCGTTCCGCAAACTCTGTTTTTCCTTCTTACTGCCGCCCCAAGGGGTCGGCGGTGCGGCGTCAGCCAATGAATCCTCCTCCCCCCCACCACCACCGCCACCTCCCCCACCACCCCCTCGATCACTGGTCCGCATTCGGTATCGCAAAACTGAGGACTATGTCGGCTAGAACGTCGTAATAGTCCAGTGTCATATGAAAAGGGTCCGTGTGCATGCTCTGAAGTTGGGACATTTTATAGGCATCCAAAATATACACGTTGGGGAATTCACTGGATATCATGTCGGTCACCGCCTCGTTCCACTGCGCGCACTTCGCATTGGTAGCCCACGGCATCTGAACGGGATCTTCGAAAATGTGATTTATCAAGATCCAGACAATCACGGTCACCGAGCCTTGAAAAGCGAGCAACTGTTCGCGAACAGACTCTACATAGTCGTCAGCTGACATGGCTTCAATGTAGAAATCATGTAAACCCTGGTTCGTAATGATGGCGTCCACGCTGCCGTACCGCTTCTTAACATAAGCGGCAATGGTGCCCTGAGTGGTATTTGTCTCGTTAGTCTGCAATGAAACCTCTCTCGCGTATTCCACGGGAACGTACTCAAAATCCAGCACGCACTGCTTGCTAACATTGCCCGAAGCAACAGAAACCTGACCACGATAACACCTGAATGACCGAGTGTCTTGGCAATAAGGGTGGGTAAGACCTTTGAAGAGCGGGGCGAAACCTTGCGGCGGAGGCACCCACTCTGGCGCTGGATCCAAACCTAGGAATTCCATCCTGTCGCAATCATTCTTAGAGACGGCCGTGTCATGCCAAGCACTATCGAAAATAGGGCGCAGCCTGCTATACAAGTTGTGCATCGTCGAATCCCCCAGAAATAAGAATCTGGAGTGCGTCACGTCGCTGGCGTCCTCGCCGCAGTGTCTCGCATAACTGCTCCATGAGAAGTTCATGGGGCAAGAAGACGACTTGTCAGGGTGCCACGTCAATGGGTTCCCGTGCCACACGCCCCCGCCAGAGCATACTTCATGGGAAGTGGAATTGGCCGTGGCTGCGGTGCTGGAAGTGGTCGCACCGTCGGAACATGTGGCATCCACGTAGACGGCGCCGATATAGTAGAAGCCCAGAGACCAAGAGATCAGGGCCGTGATAGCGAGCAAGGGTAATAAGATCCCAAAGATCTTGGAGGTTTGTTTCGGGCGACGCTTGTGAAGGGGAGCCTCCATCAAGTGGTACGTGGCCATTGCGAGTGCTAAGGTTATGGCAAAAACAATCACCATGGACGTCGGAGACTTGAGACATTCGGTCCCCCGCATAAACACTAGTACTGGCCAATGCCACAGATAGAGGGCATATGACAGATTACCGATGTACACCAAGAACTTGCTGCCAAAGCACGCATTTAGAATCGCATTCGGTGAACTACCTGCAGCTATAAAGCAGAGCGTCCCGCCAACACTCAGCGACGCCCAAGGGAAGGGAAACCCCCAACCACTTGGCGTGAACAACAGCCCAACAATGAGCAACAACGACGATGCAACCTGCAATATTATATACCTGACGCCGTTCGCAATGGTGTCCGTACCGGGTGCATAGTTCGGCATCATATGAAACACGCACGCGCCAAGCGCCAACTCCCAAAACCGGGACGGTAATATATAGAACGCGACTTGGGCGTTGGAATCCGCCGGCCCCCGTGTGGGGCCACAAGGCTCCGAGGTTCTCCAGTTCCAGTTTCGAGTCTCCCATATCATAGTCCTACGTTATTGTTCCCACGGTACTTCGTTGAAGGCCGCGCGAGGGGGGGGGGGGGGCAAAAAGAGCCCCGCTTACCACCGCCCGGGGGGGGTCTCAGATTTTCTGGGGGGTCCTAAGAACGCAAAAGTACAGAAGACTCGCGCCCCCGAAGCCATCATCCCTTGTACATTACACTAGACTCGCGCTCCCAAGGGCATACTCCCTCGTAGATCATACAATGTCCGCGTCCCCAAAACAAGACACCCTCGCCAATCATATGGTGCTCGCGCTTCTGAAACCAATATATTTCGTACAGTATGCGATGTGCGCGTCTCCGAAGCAATACTCTGCCTCTCTCTCTCTCTCTGTCTCCTTCTCCCTCGTTTTCTCTATTCGTAAATGACGCAGTTCTTGCGCCCCCGAAGCCACGATCCCTCATAGATTTCGCATGCTTCGCGTGCCCGCATTCACAAACCCTTGTAAAGTGCGCAGTCTTCGTGCTTCCGAGGCCAGTCCTTCATCAAAGGCCCTAAGACAATACAATAGGCCTCCGAGACGGCCCAAGAGTGCTCCAAGGCGTCCAAGATGGTCCCAAGACGGCCAAAGAGGCTCCCAAGAGGCCCCCAAGAGCGCTCCAAGAGCACCCCCAATCGTTTCCCACGAGGCCAACATCTGCGATGCTGCTTTAGTTACCTAACAGCGAAGACTGATAGGTTTCTAGTAGTGTCAAAAGAGCTCACAGATCACTCCACAGGGGGGTCCGGGCAGGTGTTGGGAGTTGCCGGGCGGGTTGTGTCCACCTCGTTTTTCACCAACAGTCACACACTTCGTGCTCTTCGAGTTCCCAGAACTCCATTCCCAGGCTCATTCTGAATACCCGGATGCAACAGTCACACACTTCGTGCTCTTCGAGATCCCAGAACGCCATTCCCGGGCCACATTTAGAATAACCGGATGCAACAGTCACACACTTCGTGCTCTTCGACATCCCAGAACGCCATTCCCGGGCCACATTCTGGAGGGCCGGATGCAACAGTCACACACTTCGTGCTCTTCGAGTTCCCAGAACTCCATTCCCGGGCCACATTTTGGATGGGCCGGATGCAAACTGTAGGCCACTTCGTGCTCTTCGAGTTCCCAGAACTCCATTCCCGGGCCACATTTTGAATGCCCGGAGCCAACTGTAGGCCAACTTCGTGCTCTTCGACTTCCCAGAACTCCCATTCCTGGGCCACATTTTCAGCAGGGGCAAGAGCACGACGAGGAGGAGGACGAGCAAGACCAGGAGGACGAGGACGAGCAGGAGCAGGACGAGGAGCAGGAGGAGCAGGAGAAGAAGGACGAGCAGGAGGAGGAGGAGGACGAGCAGGAGGGAGGAGGACGACCAGGAGGAGGAGGACGACCAGGAAGAGGAGGAGGAGGAGGAGGAGGAGGGGAGGGGGAGGAGTACCAGGAGGAGGAGGAGGAGGAGGAGGAGGAGGAGTAGGAGGAGGAGGAGGAGGAAGAGGAGGAGGAGGAGGAGGAGGACGAGGACGAGGAGGAGGAGGAGGAGGAGGGGGGGGGAGAGTACCAGGAGGAGGAGAACGAGGACCACCAGGAGGAGAGGAGGAGGAGGAGGAGGAGGAGGAGGAGGAGGAGGAGGAGAGAACACCAGGAGGAGGAGGACGAGCAAGACGAGGAGGACGAGAACGAGGACGACCAGGAAGAGGAGGAGGAGGAGGAGGAGGAGGGGGGGGAGGACTACCAGGAGGAGGAAGGAGGAGGAGGAGGAGGAGGAAGAGGAGGAGGAGGACGAGGAGGAGGAGGAGGAGGACGAGGAGGAGGAGGGGGGGGGAGAGCACCAGGAGTGGAGGAACGGGACCACCAGGAGGAGGAGGAGAGGAGGAGGAGGAGGAGGAGGAGGAGGAGGAGAGAACACAGGAGGAGGAGGACGAGCAAGACGAGGAGGACGAGAACGAGGACGAGCAGGAGGAAGAGGAGGAGGAGGAGGAGGAGGAGGAGGAGCAGGAGAAAGAGGAGGAGGAGGAGGAGGCAGGCTGAGGCTGAGGCTGTGACTGCGACTGCCGTTGCCGCTGCGACTGTCATCGCGAATGCGACTACGACTGCGAGAACAGCAGAATTCGACAACTGGATTTTCATCTGAATCTTAAGGGGAATGCTTTCAGATATGCTTCTACACATCGCTGTTAGGTTGCTTTGCCGGGATAATTTTTGATGGATTTTGGTACGCTCAAATCTCCATCGGCCCCCGTTAGGAGTTCCGACGCTGCTGCATGACGGCGCCTGGGCCTCATGCCCCATTCTCAAAGGGAGGGGGACGGCGACAGGGGGCGAAGCTCTTAAGGATAACTTGAAAAGGTGAGGACGTCCGAGAGACGGGTGCGTTGGTGTGGTTGCAAGTTTACCCCCCCTTACCCCCCCACTGGCCTTGCCCCCTGTTGCTGGCCCACCCCCACCAAAGATGCCGGAGCTCCTGGGCACGGCCGCGGCGATCCCAGGAGCCTCTCACGTGCGCCCAAGACGGTCCAAGACTGTCCCAAGACGGCCCAAGAGAGCCTCCAGACGGTTCCAGATCGTTCCAAGACGCCCAAGATGGCCTCCAAACGGCCCAAGACGCTTCCA